TTGATTTGCACTGACGTGTACAGCGAAAGTACTTTTGGAGCACCCGATGGTACACGCATGCGTCTGTTTGGAGGGCGGGTGCAATCGAACCATCACATGACCTATCGCGACGGCTTCGTCTTATAGCTATCCCTCCTTTACGAGACGTTTTCAGCAAAGAGCCTGCAGTTGCTCAAAGCAGCGGAGTGCCAGCAAATCCCCCTCTGGTCGAGAGCATCTTCGGCGAGCTCTTGCAGATTGACGGCCCAACGTACTCAGCGAAGCTCAGACGCTCAGAAGAGTGCAAGTGCGTTGCGTTTGCCCAAGGCATTGTTCGTTCTCCCTCCCCCCCTTCCTACTCCTGCTCCTCCCTCCTCCCTTTCCTTCCCTGCGAGCTCCTGCTCCTTCTCCTGCTGCTGTTGCTCACTCTGCTCCTGGTCCTGCTCCTACTCGGCCTGAATTTCCTCGTCCCCTCCCTCCTCTCCAAACTCTCTCTGCTGCTGCCATTGCTGCTGCTGCGGCTTCTGCTGCTGCTGCTGCCATCTATCCTCTTATCCTGCTCCTCCTTCCTCCATCCTCCTACTGTGTCGGTTCTGTTTTCCTCCTCATTATCCTCCTCCTCCTCATCATCATCATCATCATCATCATCAGCATCACCAACAACAACAACGACAACATTTTCTCTCCATTCCTGCCTCCTCTTGCTTGTCCTGTTCCACCGTCTCCTCGTCTTCTACGCCGACTCCTCATCCTCCATTTGTCACTGTATCTCCCCATGTGGCTTCCCTTTGTCCTCATCTTTGTCCTCTTCCTCCTTCTCATCATCATTGTCATCATCGTGATCACCATCACCATCACCGTGATCACCATCACCATCACCGTCACCATCACACTCACCATCACCACCGCCATCAGCATCATCATCATCATCCTCCTCATCCTCGTCATCATCATCATCATCATCATCATCATCATCATCATCATCATCATCATCATCATCGTCGTCGTCATCATCATCATCATCATCATCATCATCATCATCATCGTCATATTCATCATCATCTTCATCATCTTCATGATTCATCATCATCCACATCAGCTGCATCATCACCATCGCGGTCATGAACATGATCATGACTATGATCATGATCATCATCACCGCCATCAGCACCACCACTACCACCACCATCATTATGTTCAGCATCATCATTTTCATCAGCATCATCATCATCATCAGCAGCAGCAGCATCCTCATCCTCGTCCTCCTCCTCCTCCTCATCATCATCCTCATACTCATCATCAGCAGCAGAATCCTCATCCTCATCCTCATCCTCGTCCTCACCATCAGCATCCTCCTCCTTGTCAAATCACCATCATAATCAGCATCAGTTTCACCAGCATCAGCAGAAGCATCAACACCATGGTCCCTGCTCCCTGCCTCCTCCTCCTCCTCCACTCTCCTGTTCCTGGCCGTTTCTCCCCCCTCATCTTCTTTCTTCAACTGTTCCTGCTCCCCCTCCTTCCATCCCTCCTGCTTCTCGACAATCACCCTCCCCCCACAAGGGCTCCGAGAGGAGGGCATGCGCGATGATGCTGCCGGGGTCGTCGACGTAGACGGGCAGAGGCACGAGAGTGCCTTTGCTGGGGAGGGTGCCTAGTGCAGGCCAAAGGCCAGAGAAGACACTCATGCCAGGAGGGAGGACGACGAAGAGGATGATAGATGAGGAGAAGGGAGGAGAAGGATAGAGCAGGAAGAAAAGGACGAGGAGATAGAGGAGGAAGATGAGGAAAAGGGGGGGGAGGAGGAGGAGGAGGAGGAGGAGGAGGAGGAGGAGGAGGAGGAGGAGGAGGAGGAGGAGGGGGGGGAGAGGAGGAGGAGGAGGAGGAGGAGGAGGAGGAGGGAGGCATGAGGAGGGGAGGAGGAGAGGAGGGTGAGGAAGAGGATAGTGAGAAAGGAGGAGGAGAGGATGAGGAAGATGTTAGGAGAAGGCTAAGAGGGGGATGATAGAGAAGGAGAAACAGGAAAAGGAGGACGAGCGAGCAGAATGAGGGCGAGAAGAGGAGATGGAGGAAGAGGAGGAGGAGGAAGAGGAGGAGGCGAGGGGCGACGAAGAGGAGACTGACGCAATGAACGTGCTGGAAAACAGGTGACTCAGGAAACGTGGCGCTCGAGCCCGCGCGCGCTCGCAACGGCATTGCGCCCCAATGCCTGGCCCGTGCCGAAGCCCGCCCCCCGAGCGACCCTTCCCGCTCCCGGCCGCCCAGCCAGGTGGACCTCTGAGCGGTCTTCCTGAGCGGGAGCCTCCTCCTCCTCCTCCTCCACCTTCCTCCCCCCACCTCCACTTCTCCTCCTCCTCCCCTCCTAATCGTTTCCTCCTCCTCTCCTCCTCCTGTCGTCCTCTCCTCCTCCTCCTCCTCTCCTTCCTCCTCCTCCTCCTCCTCCCCTCCTCCTGCTCGTCCTCCTCATCATCTCCTCTTCTCCTTCCTCCTCCCCTTCTTCCTCCGTCCTCCTTGTCTTCAATCCTCGACGGCCTCCTCCCTCACCTCCTCCTCCTCCTTCCTCCTCCTCCCTCTCCTCCTCCTCCCTCCTATACCTGCCGTCCTCCCCATCCCTCCTCCTTCTCCTCCCCTACTCCTCCTCCTCCTCCTCGTCTTCCTCCTTCTCCTCCTCCTCCTCCTTCCTCCCTCCCTCCCTCCTCCTCCTCCCTCCTCCTCCTCCTCCTCCTCCTCTCCTCCTCCAGCCTCCTACCTCTCATCTAAAAAAAAAAAAACAAAAAAAAATAAAAATAAAAAAAAAGAGCGGGAACATCCCAGGCACATGTTCAATGGCCGCAGGCACACGGGAAGATGCGACCAGTGGCCTCGGCGTCGCCATCCTCCTCGCAACCTTTTGGAGGTCTGCGCTGACCGCGCGCCAAATTCTCCATCCAAGCTCGCCCACCACGGGCGACCGTTTCCGCTCCCAGCCACCCAGCTGGGTGGACCTTCGAGCGGCATTCCTGTCAAGACGAAGCCAGGACAGGGACAGAGAGACAACATCGGATAAGGATGAATCGGGCATGCCTGAGATCTGGCGGCTCTGCAAGACGTCTTGGGCGCCGCGGCCTTCTCAGAGCGGTCCAGAACGCTCTGGGAGCGTTCCAGAAAGCTCTGGGAGCGATCCGTCCCTGCCCTACAGGCAGGAATTGTTGCTCAGCGTGTCGCGGCGGCGGCCCCCGCGACACGCTGTCCGTCGCTCTGCTCCGCGGGGCGGGAGGCTCGGGAAGGCTCGGGGCGTGGACGCGGGGGCTCGGGCTGTGGAGATAGCGTGCCGCGCCGCAGCGTGGTGGCCCAGAACCCCCGGCCGGCCTCTCCCTTCCCCCTGGTGCCTTCTCTCTCGTCCATCCCCCCCCCTCCCGCCAGAACCGGCCCCCGTCCCAACGAACCCCCCACCCTCCCGCCTCTCCACTGCCACCTGCATCATTCACATCGCCCTCCCACCGGCCACTGCCCATTACCTCCTCCTCCTCCTCCTCCTCCTCCTCCTCCTCCTATCCTCCTCCTCCTCCTCTCCCTCCTCCATCCCTCTTCTCGCCCTCGTTCTGCTCGCTTCGTCCTCCCTTTCCTCTTCTCCTCCTTTCTCCTCTTTCTCCTCTTTCTCCTCGTCCTCGTCGTCCTCGTCGTCCTCGTCGGTCCTCGTCGTCCTCGTCGTCCTCCTCCTCCTCCCTCCACCTCCTCCCTCCTCCTCCTCCACCGCCTCTCCTCCTCCTCTCTCCCTCCTCCTCCTACTCCCCTCCTCCCACCCCTCATCCGCACCTCCTCCTCTCCTCCCTCCTCCTCCCTCCTCTCCTCCTCCTCCCTCCTCCTCCTGCTCCTTGGCTCCTGCACCTGCTCCTGCCCCTCTCCTGCTCCTCTCCTGCGCCTTCCTCTCCTCCTCCTCCACCCCTCCTCCTCCTCCTCCTCCTTCCTCCTCCTGCTCCTCTCCTCCTCCTCCTCCTCCTCCTCCTCCGCCTCCTCCTCCTCCTCCGCCCTCCTCCTCCTGCTGCTGCTGCTTTCCTGACGAGGTGCTCCTCCTCCTCCTCCTCCGCCTCCTCCTCCTCCTCCTCCGCCTCCTCCTCTCCTTGCGCCGCGGAGGCCCCACCGCGGCGCACGCACGGGGCTCTGGACGACGCCCTTTGGCTGGCGAGCGGGCCCTGGCGCCGACAAGAACGACTCGGGAGGAAGAGCCGGCCCCCCGGGCTTCTCCCGCCCTCCTCCTCCTGCTCCTCGCCTGCTCCTCCTCCTGCTCCTCCCTCTCCTTCCACCCCTCCTCCACCCTGGGGCCAAGCTCTTCCTCCCGATCAGTTCTTGTCGGCGCTCAGGCCCGCTCGCCAGCCAAAAGGCGTCGACCAGACCCCGTGCGCCGCGGTGGGAGTCTCCAGCGGTGCAAGGAAGGAGGGGGAGAGGAGGAGGAGGAGGAGGAGAGAGGAGGAAGGAGGAGGAGGAGGAGGAGGAGGAGGAGGAGGAGGAGGAGTTGACCAGTACAGCAGTTCGCGCCGTCATGAACGATAGCGAAGGCGTCGTCATGAACGAAACGGCGAGCCCCGGTGCTGGCGCGGCTCACAGGATGTCGGCCATGCGCAGCCCCGCGGCCGCGGCCTCGAGGGCGGCCGGGGTCCCCCCGCTGGGGTGCGACCCCCCGTCGGGCTGCGGCGGCCGGCTGGGCCCTCGGCCGTGCCGGCCGCTGCTGCGGGGGCCACGGGAGCTTCGTCGAGCGCCGCTGGTCGTGCAGCGCCCGATGCTGCTGAAGGTCACGCGCACGGTGCCTCGGCTCCGCTTGGAGATGTCCGGGATGTCGGCCAGGTCCAAGAACACCGTGGCCGAGAAGGCGAGCCGGTGCTGGCGCAGGTGGGTCGGCATGAAATGGAGGGGGCGCGGGAAAATCTCTGTGGAGGTGGAGGTGTCACCCTCGGTCGGGCCCAGGAGCGCCACATACGACTCCTGGACCCACTCCACAAACTGCTCGCGTTGGTTCATCTTGACCCAGCTCAGAAACTCCGCGCCCTCGCAGGTGCCGAAGCAATGCTGGAAGCTGTCGGAGAAGCACAGAATTTCGTAGCCAGCCGAGAGCGCGTCGAACCAGAAGGCGGGGGCGTCCCCCTCGAAATCATTGTAAAACGTCGAGCCTGGAGCATCCGAGCCCAGGGACTGCTCCAGGTCCAGAGCGCCCAGGTCGCCGCCGCTGCTGCTACCGTTGCTGCTGCCGCTGCTGTCTCCAGCGTTCTCTGGTGGACCGGGGGGCGGCCCCGGCGGCGTTCCCTGCAGGTCCTGCTTGGGCCGGTGACCCCGCCGGCGCAGCTGCCTGGTCTCCGCCAGGCGCCCCAGGTTTGGCAGAAGCATGGAGTCGGAGTCGCTCACCTCCAGGACGCCCACCTTGAAGGCCGGGAGCCCGCCCTGGCTGACGTAGGACACGGCGAACACGTGCACGTTCACGGGGATGCCCGTGCTGTCCTTCATCAGCACCTGGAAGGTCTTGCTCAGGTCTGAGTGCTCCTCCCCGCAGTCCCGCAGCAACAGCTTCCCCATCTGTTCTGTGAACTTCTTGCTGTCGGATTCGGACACCAAGAACGAGCGGATGTCCTCCTGGTTGAGGCTGCGCTGGGGATTCAGGAACAGCATGTCAGCTAGCTCCCGCGAGTGCCTCTGCAGCCTGAACTCCTCGTTGAGATCGACCACCACCTCGCACACGCAGCCGAGCACCGAGGTGGCCGCCCGGAGCTCCTGCCTGGATAACTTGGACTGGAGCTCCAGGCGAACGATGTAAGTCAGGAGGCGGGAAAACGCGATGAGCATGCACACCAGGAGAATCATGTTCTGAAACCCGTCGCTCAATATCTGCTCGGAGCTGTAATCATAACTCTGGATTTCCTCTGTGTTCTCCCCGACCATCAGCGTGTAGGTGGACGAGAGGCATAGCAGAAGCAACCATGGGATGTTCACCATCGGCTTCAGATTCCAGAGACAACAGAAAAGGCTGGTAATGTAGATCATGCTCATGCGATAGGCGACAAGGTCTGCACGGACCGCATACGGTGACATGTACACTACCAGGCAGGCCATCAGCGCAGAGAACCAGTAGTCCAAAGACCTGACCGTCACGACGGAGACATGCGCCCACTGCGATGCCCACATAATGGATATCATGCCGCTGAAGACGGAGAGAGCGATGTCCTGAACGATCGACCCGAACCTCTTCACGGAGCCCCCGTCCAGCCCGCTGCGCACGGTGAAGACGAAGAAGTTCGTGAAGACCAGTACCTGCGCCCAGGGGAGGATCCGCAGGGCGCGCGCCAGCTGCCGGCGCTCCAGCTCCTCGCACAGCGAGGCCTCGAAGGCGTCGTCCTGGCGCGACCGCCGGCCGCAGGGGGCGCCCGACGCCAGCGAGGAGCCCTCGCAGAGGCGGCGGCCCCGCAGCAGGCCGACGAGCACCACGAGGCAGCAGAAGAGGAGGCCGCAGGCGCCGACCACGAAAACCACAAAGTCGCGCTGCCTTGAGGCCAAGAAGTTGCCCGGCGAGAACTGGGCCATGCCCTTGTCCGGCAGGCCCGCGTGGGGCGCCGGAGGTGAGATTGCCCAGGCCGAGCTTGAGCCGAAATTGCTAGGGAGGAGGAGGACACTTCCTCAGAAGACCCAGGGAAAGTGTAAAAGCATCAACTGCCGAGGCTCCACGCGAAAGTCCAGGGTTCGCAAGGAGCTGGTCTCGTTTCAAAGCAGCCGAAGGCCTACAGGCGGATTGTGGATGAAAAATACCGGCGAGTTTAGGTCGGGCATGTTTTCCAGGCGGATTTTGGACGAAGAGTTAAACGGAGTCAAACCATATGCAAAAATAATAGAAAAATCGTTCCCAGATGATTTTTGACTATGTTTGAATATTCCTCCTGTAGAGGGACGTGCCCGACTTAAATCTACTGCCGAGGCTCCACGCGAAAGTCCAGGGTTCGTAAAGGAACTGGTTTCCTTTTCCGATAACAGCCGAAACCCTCCCGAAACCCTCCGAAAACCCTCCAGGGAGGGCTCCGGGAGGCGTTCTGAGGGCTTCGGGGGGTTTGCAAGAGTCTGCGTCGTTTTGGGGGGAATTCAATACCTAGCGAACCCTGGGCTTTCCTAGCGTACGCATCAACTGCCCAGGCTCCACGCGGACCTCCGCAGGCTTCTGTTCATGCAGCCTGTTCTTCTCCGAACTCCCTACGTACCCTCGCCGCCCCCACAACAGGAGTGGGTGCGAAACAGGACCGCATCACGCACGACGCCTGCGGGCAACTGGGTCCCTACACGCCGGCACGGCGCGGATCCCCGCGTCGTCTGAACGCCAGGTGCCACTGCGCAAAGTCGGGGGCCGAGCTGCCCTCCCCCCCCCCCCGCTGCTCCCTCTCCCGCTCCTGCCCCTTCCCGCCTTCCACCCCTCCCTCTCCCCTGCTCCATCTACTCCCCTCCCCCTCCTCTCCTCCTCCTCCTCCTCCTCCTCCTCCTCCTCCTCCTCCTCCTCCTCCTCCTCCTCCTCCTCCTCCCCTCCGCCCTCCTCCTCCTCCTTCCTCCTCCTCCTCCTTCCTCCGTCCTCCCCTCCTCCCCCCCCTCCCGCCTCCTCCGCTCTCCTCCTCCGCCCTCCTCCTCCTCCTCCTCTTCCTCCTCCTCCTCCTCCTCCTCCTCCTCCTCCTGCCTCCACCTCCACCTCCACCTCCACCTCCACCATCCTCCCTCTCCTCCTCCTCCTCCTCCTCCACCTCCACCTCCAACCCTCCACCTCCTCCCCCTCCTCCTCCTCCCTCCCTCCTCCTCCACCTCCTCATCCTCCTCCTCTCCTCCTCCTTCCTCTCCTCCTCCTCCTCCTCCTCCTCCTCCTCCTCCCTCTCCACTTTCCCTGCTCAGACCACTTGGGTCGTGATTTGTCCGCAGCGCTGCCCCGTAGGTCTCTCCACACCTTTCCCAAGACCAGCTTTTCCGCCCCGACGGCGCCATGGCTCTGGAGGATCCCCCTGCAGGGACACTTTCCCGTTGCCGCCCACGGCCGTCCATCCCTTGCCCCTCATCCCTCCTCCCTGCTCCACCTCCTGCTCCACCCCCCCTCCCTTCCGTTCCTCTCCTACTTCCTCCCCCGCTAGTTCCTCCTCCTCCTCCTCCTCCTCCTCCTCCTTCCTTCTCCTTTCCCCTTCTTCCCTCCTCCTCCTCCTCCTCCTCCTCCTCCCTCACCAACCAACATCACACCATCACCATCACCACACCATCATCACCATCATCAACATCATCACCGTCATCACGATCATCACCTCATCAAACCGACCACCCACCACCACCAACACCACCAATCTATCATTCATCATATCATCATCATCATCATCAATCTCCTCATCATCATCATCAGCAGCAGCAGCAGCAGCATCATCATCATCTCCATCGTCCTCATCATCATCATCATCAGCATCATCCATCACCATCATCATCATCATCATCCTCATCATCCTCATCATCATCCTCATCATCCTCATCAGCTTCATCATCCTAATCATCCCGTCCTCATCCTCACATCATCATCATCATCATCATCATCATCATCATCATCATCATCATCATCATCAGCATCAGCATCAGCATCAGCATCAGCATCATCATCATCATCATCATCATCATCATCATCATCATCATCATCATCCCCTCCTCATCCTGCTCCGCGTTTGCTCCTCCTCCTCCTCCTCCTCCTCCTCATCCTCCTCCTCCTCCTCCTCCCCTTCCTCCCCCTGTCTCTCTCGGCCCCCCACTCTTGTCCACATTCCAAACTCTCCTCTCCTTCCTCGTCTCCCTCCGCTTACCTCTGTCGCCCCCCCTCCTCCTCCTCTCCTCACTCCTCCTCCTCTTCCTCCTCCTTCATCGACTCCTACCCCTCCTCCTCCTCCTCCTCCTGCTCCTCCTCCTCCTCCTCCTCACTCCTCCTCCTGCCACCTCCTCCTCCTCCTCCTCCTCCCCTTCCTCTCCTTCCTCCTCCTCGCACTCCTACTCCTCCTCCCTCCTCCTCCTCCTCCTCCTCCTCTCCTCCTCCCCTTTCCTCCCCTCCTCCTCCTCCTCCTCCTCCTCCTCCTCACCACCACCACCAAGCATTCAGCACATCATCATAATCATCATCAGCATCAGCTCACATCAGCATCATCATCATCATCATCATCATCATCATCATCATCATCATCATCATCATCATCATCATCATCATCATCATCATCAGCATCATCATCATCATCAGCAGCAGCATCATCATCATCATCGCCATCATCACCATCACCATCACCATCACCATCACCATCACCATCACCATCACCATCACCATCACCATCACCATCACCATCACCATCATCACCATCATCATCGTTATCATAATCCTCATCAACATCGGCATCATCATCATCGTCATCGTCATCGTCATCGTCATCGTCATCGTCATCGTCATCGTCATCATCATCATCATCATCATCATCATCATCATCATCAGCATCACGGGGAGCTCCCTTTGGGGCCAGAACAACGTGTGAGGTGTATGCCCAAATGGGGCGGTGCCGCCATGCGGGCGCAGACACTGGCGCTGTTGGTGGGGCTTCCGGAGGGGCGACGAAACGTGCGTGGGGTGCACCGAAATGGAGCAGTGCCGTATGCGGGCACTGGCACTGGGGCGTAGAGCTCCTAGTGGGGCCGCGGAACGCGTGAGGGGTGTGGCAAAATGGCGGCGCCGCCGTGCGAACCCCGCCACTTGGGCTTCGGCGGAACTCCCTATGGGGTCACGAGACGTGTGAGGGGTGTGCAGAAATGGCGCGGCGCCGCCATCACTGGGGCCGTCTGTGGCTCTCCCAAAGGTGCGACGGAACGCGTGAGAGGTGTGAAAACATCGGGCGGCGCAGCTATGCGAATCCTGCCAACGAGGCTTTTAGTGAAGCTCCTGATGGTGCCACGAGACGTGTGAGGGGTGTGCCGAAATGGGACGGCGCCGCCGCGTGAACCCTGTCACTTGGGCGTTCGTTTGAGCTCCCTGTGGGGCCACGACACGCGTAATGGGTGTGCCGAAATTTGGCAGCGCCGCCATGCGAATCCTGCCAACAAAGCTTTTAGTGAAGCTCCCTATGAAGCCACGAGACGCGTGAGGGGTGCCGTATATAATGCTTGCGGCGCTACCATGCGAAACATCCCGCTGAGGCCTTCGGTGGAGCTCCCCGTAGGGCCACGAAGCAATTGAGGAATGTGCCACAATGGGGCGGCGCTGCCGTGCGAACACTGCCACTGGGGCCTTCGGTAAAGCTCCATAAAAGGCCACGAATCGTTTGAGAGGTGTGCCGTAATTGGTGCGGCGCCGCCATGCGAACCCTGGCACGTGAGCCGTATAAGAAGTGTGCCGAAATGAGGCAGCGCCGCTATGCGAACCCTGGCGATTGGCCTTAGTTGGAGCTCCCTATGTGTGGTGGATGTGCGGAGACGGACACGCA